TTTTTTTTTTTTTTTTTTTTTAATAAACTATACATCGTCAATGCTTAGGTATTAAGGTTCTACTTTTAACTTAATTAAAGTTTGTTTATTTCTTATGGTAACTGCTTGTTACTGCCCGTCGGTTGATCTCCTTGTCGCCGCTCACCCCGTACTTGGATAAGTATTGGCTGTAGTGCCACAGAATTTCCCGGATTTTCATCTTGCGACGTTGTTTCTGGTTCTTCTTCCTGCAAACATCCTAGATAAGTTTAGTATAAGTGGGGCCCCCCATTTTAAAATCCCGACCGATCCTGCCGCCGCCCCTAACGCTATTTCAGCAGCTAACCATGCGTATTCCTTCCAGTTAAAAAATTCCTCTTTTGCCTGTACTAATTCATGTATACGTTGTACTATGTCCATCAGTTTAGTACCTGTCGTCAACCTATCCTCCGGTCCATGTTCTTGCTTACCAAGCTCCTGTAACTCATCCCTCTCTACTACCATCCTTATTTGTTCCAATATCTAATCTACTTTTACCCCTTTTATTTTCCGCGCTATTTCTTTCAGATTTAAATTTGAGCTCTTAAACTTAATTATCTGGTTCTCGCCCTCCTCTTGACTCGGGTCCAATCTCGTCTCCGACGTTTGGGCTGTGCAATCTTTAGCTAGGTCTATTACTCCTGTCTTCATTACTTTAAATGTCTTGTGCTTGGTGTGATCGCATTGTACGTGGATCTTTTCCTCTTCCGTGGTGCTGAACGCATGTTGATTCTTCGCGTAAAGACGTGTCCAATATGTGCCCTTTAGTTTTGCTAGTACTATCGGGCACTCTTCCGGATTCTTCACAGTTTCTTCTAGTATCAGCCGTATTTCACAAGGGTGGTCCTCCTTCAATTCCTGTGTCGGCTCCGTTTGTGTACATACACTTACCTTTTTCAACTTCTTGCATTGTTCCACTGTCTCCCACGCTACTGGTGCAAATCTTTTTTTGCTCGTGCTACCCGCAACGTACTCATATGTTGGTTGGAGATAAGCGACGACGTTCGTTATATTTAATCCCTCCTGTTCTACCGGCAACGGTGATATCCTTAGAAGGTCTAGACTCTCCCTTGTTACCAGCGGTATTTCGATATAATAGATAATTTTCCTATCAAGCGCTATCGTTGCTACCTTTGATATTTCTGCTATTTCTTCCTTCGTCGTGTTTCTTTCTCCCGGAAATCTAAGGTCAGGTCTAAATTGTTCTGCTAATATTTCTGCTTCCGCTATCACATCTAGCGCTGCTTCCGGCAGGTGTGACACTCCTCGACTGGCTCAATATGTGATATCCGTCGCTGTCACAAATTTAGCTAAGAGTTCTTCGGTCAATTTTTCGAATCTTTCTACTATTCCTGATACTCTGTCGTATCCGTCTATAAGTTCCGTGAATATTTTCAATCCTTCTTCTGTTACCTTACCTGCTTTGTTTTTAAATCTCTCTAAAGCTTGAAGAACCTGCTCGTGATTACCGAACGTTAAAATCCTCATTTGTTCTTTTATGAACCTTGTAGTGTCAGTCGTGTGCATCAGGTTTGACTTTACTAGCTCCTGTATTTTCTCCCTATCTGCCTCTGCTATTTGTCCCTGAAGTGTCTGTACCGTTTTGATCTGGTTATCATCGACTTTTTGGCCTACTACTGCTCTGTACGCCATTTCCATTCTTTGTAAGGCTCCTGGGACTCTTTTAGTAGCCCGTTCTACCTGCTCTTCACATTCGTCCCTTTTCCTTATAGTAACCCTACATTTCCATTTCGTTTGTCGGCTTACTTGTAGAAATGCCTCTGTCTGTTGGGCCATTTAATTCCAATCTACATACCATATTATTTTCCATGTCGACGCGACTGACTGAATTGGACCCAGATTCTCTACTAGTATCCCCGGATTCCTTTCGATTTGCTCTATCTCCCCCGGTTGTCCTCCTACCAGCGTGGTTTCACCCCTAAAACATAAAATAGTTATCCTTTTTCCTGTTCTCACTCCCATTTATCGTAAGCTCCTAGGTCCCTAGGTTACCCTTGATTATACTAAAAGCTGAGGTCCATCCCACGTAGTATGTTCCATACTGTACGTGACACGTCCGAGGCTGCTTCGTCGTCGCCCACGACAACGTTCTTTTTCTGTACCACCTCGGGAATGATTGTTTAATTAGTGTCTGTATCATGTTGTTCGTGTTGTAATGTATACTAATCATATAAGAAAAATTAATAAGGTGTTCCTATGAATATCCTCGTTAATTTTTCTTTTACAGGCTTTGATTAGTTTTCCGCAAGTTTATAATTGTGTTATTACACATATTGTTCGTGTTTGCGCTCTTCCCTCTTACATAATAAATTGATAAATATGCCCTTGTGGGTCT